TGGCTCCCCTGGGCTCTGCCATCGCCAGGTCGAGCCTTTCTCTGCCGCTCCCGGCGATCGGAAACGTCCCGGTTGGGTTTGAGGGTCAGTTCTGGATTTTCCCTCGGGAAATTGGGAGAGTCAGATTAAAAAATGAACCTCAGGATCCATTTTTTTTTTTTTTTTTTGCATTTTCCTAGGGAATTCTGTCTCTCAGGTGTGCACTTGTGTAATCCCAAACAAGCAGGGCCTCGTGGGAGGTGTTGGCAGTCGGGATTATTGTCCGGGCATTCCACGTGAGGAAAATCCCTGTTCCTTGGTCGTGTCTGCAAAACACAGATGTTGATTTCTGTTCTGAATCCCCAGAAGGGCGTCTCAGGTGTGTTGGCAAGACCTGCTGTGTCGTGCAGAGTAGGATTTCTTTAGGTTCTTCTTTTAAAGCTGTCGGAGGAGCAGGAGGAGGTTTCTCACGTGTTGGGATGGGTGGTGAGGGTGGGGGTAGAGCTTTGCTTTGGGTGGGAGGGGAAAAACTCTGAGTTTGGGTAGTGCAGTAAGGGAAATGGTTGTGTGTGGAGCTGCTGAACTGGATTGTCTGGCGTGGTTTGACAGGCTGAGAGAGCTGGGCAAGAGAAGGTTGTGTGGAGACCTCACAACCCCTTCCAGGGTCTGAAGGGAAGCCAGAGAGGGACTTTTCATCAGGAACTGGAGTGACAGGATGAGGGCAAATGGGTTCAAACTGACAGAGGTTAGTTTTAGGTTGGATATTGGGAAGAAATTCCTCCCTGGGAGGGTGGACAGGCCCTGGCACAGGTTGCCCAGAGAAACTGTGGCTGCCCCTGGATCCCTGGAAGTGCCCAAGGCCAGGTTGGAGCGACCTGGGCTAGTGGAAGGTGTCCCTGCCCATGGCAGGGGGTGGGAATGAGATGATTTTGAAGGTCCCCAATGATTCCATGATTTCAGTGGCTGGGGGGCTGTGTTTACACCTGCCCTGGCCCGGGGTTACCTGTGGAGGCTGAAGACGACGGTGCCGTCGCTGCAGCAGCGACAGGAAGGAAGAAGAGCCTCTTCCTCCCCCCCAGCAGCAGCTCAGCTCGCTGTCATGTGCTCTCCAAAACACCCTGGAGCTGCTTCCCTTTGAGCAGAGCCCCATTTCCTGCGTGGGGCCCCCTCAGCTCGGGACACAGACAAATATAGACTGACCCCAACAGCGATGGTTGGGGCTGGGAGGGAGCCAGGAGGGCGTCTCAGCACTGTTGGTGTTTGGGATTTCTCCCCCAGGAGTGAGCAAACACCGTTGGGAAGCCGAGTTGTCAGCTCTCACTGGTTCTTTGTAGCTCCCTGTCTTGTACCTGCCCGCGGAGGGGTCGTGGTTCCCGGGGAGGATCCGGCACCCCGAGTGCCACGGGGTGTTTGGAGGGTGGGAGTGGGGTTGGTGGCTGAGCCAGGTGTGTGTTGGAGGAGCAAGTGGTTCTGGGGATTGTCCTGGTGCTCCTCCCGTGGCTGCAATGGGTGATGTTCCATGAGGAAGTCCACGTTCGTGTCTGGGTGTCACCATTTCCCGTGGATCAGCGGAAAAGGAACAGGGTGAAAGGAAACTTCTCCTTTAGTGATTCCTCAGTTTCTGTCTCGGTGGACTGGCCCCAAATTTGGACTGTGCACGACCAGGGAGAAGAGGTTTTATGCCATAAATTCATTTTTGGGTGTCAAAGGGACGTTGCTCCCTCCCAGGACTCGGGATGTCACCGGGGCAGGACAGTTGTGGTTGAAGGAATCACATCATCCTGTTCATGAGGTGAATCTGCACACGAGGGTTTTCCCCAGAGGACAATCCCTGTGTGTTGCTGCAGCTTTTATTTCAGGTGATGATGTTTTGGTTGGCACTCTGCAAAAGAACTCAGATTTCCCTCTTTTCCTCTTACTTTCAGTCCCTGCTTAATTCCACTTCAGGAGGGCTGGTCTCAAAATTGAAGCTTTGTGTTTTCTAACCCTGTGCAGGGGTTTGAGACCATCACCCTGTTTGTTAAAATAACGATTTATTTCTTTATATTCTAACAAACTCTACCTGGAGATTCAGCACTAGGAAGACACAGCACTGCTGGGAAGTCCCAGGAATTCATCACCTTTATTTCTGTTGCTCGAGTTTTGCTCGTTGGAACTTTCCTGCTCTTGCCAAATAGCATTAGGCTTTTATTGTTTTTTATTGGCTTATGCTCAGAAAATCCTTTTTTCAGCAGCAATGTCAGTGATCTGCATCACGAGGTTCAGTTACGAGCAGAGTTCTGCCCTGAGTTACCTTCTTGTTTCTCAGTAGTGTCTCATCTCAGCTTCAGATTTCCCACTGCCAGTCTGGGAACCGTTTGCATTCCAGTGAGGATGGGTTTGTTTTATTGGTGGGATATTAGTGTGGAATTAATGAGGAGTTTCTGCTTCTCAGAAATGGATGCTGCCAGGACTTACATTTAAAGTTCTGGTATTTCTTCATAATGTACTTGGATTATTTGTATGTGTTGTATTCCTTAGTAATTCCAACCATTTTCCATGGCAAGTGTTTCATTATATACGTAGAGTGTAACCACCAATGTCAAGAGTCCAATTAAACCTTGTGGAGAAATTAATCACGAAATAACAAGCTCCAAACAAACCCGTGGGTTGGGTTACAGGGAGGAATCCCTCCCCTCTCCGTGCAGGTGTGTTTTCCTGCAGTGTCCATCCCCTGCCTCCCAAAGGAACTGGGTGTCCTGGGGGCAGGGCAGGGCAGGGGATTGTCCCGCTCTGCTCTGAGCTGGGGCGGCCTCACCTCAGTCCTGGGGGCACTTTGGGCACCACGAGGTGTAAAAAACGTCTAAAGCTGTTGGAGAGGGTCCAAAGCAGGGACACAGGGATGGGGAAGGGTCTGGAGCAGCAGCTCAGGGCACTGGGTTTGTTCAGCTGGAGGAGACTGAAGGGAGACTCCTCGGGGGCTGCAGCTCCTCCCAAGGGGCAGCTCCGACCTCTGCTCCCTGTGAGCAGGGACAGGACCCAGGGAAGGGCTGGAGCTGTGCCAGGGCAGGGTCAGGCTGGATCCCAGGGAAAGGTTCTTCCCCCAGAGGGTGATTGGGCACTGACCAGGCTCCCCAGGGTCCCCAAGGCTGCCAGAGCTCCAGGAGCGTTTGGCCAACGCTCTGAGGGACAGGGTGGGATTGTTGGGGTGAGATTCTGCAGGGCCAGGATGGGCTGGAAGATCCTTATGGGTCCCTTCACACTCAGGAGATTCCCTGATCCTCTGGAAGCTGCCTCTGCAGATGGAGAGGCAGAGCTGGGCAGAGCTGGTGGGGTTTGGAGCTCCTGCAGTCGCTCAGCACGTCGTGCTCGGGCACAGGAGCTGCAGGAGCTCTGGTTGGGGTGTCCCTCTGCCCTGGCAGGTACCTGTCCAGGCAGCTGGGTCAGCGTTACCTGAGCCCTGCTTTGCAGTCAGGCATTAAAATTCCTGCTTTGCTTGGCATTCCAGTGCTTCGTGGACATTCTCCCTTTCAGCTGCTGGATTTGTTTGGGCTTGTCGGGGCCTGACTCCGGCGTAGGGTGAGGAGTGAGATAAAGTTCTGGGTGCAGACACACACCCTGCCCTGAGCAGCACGAGCCAGAGAGACATGGGGCTGCTTTGGGTTGGAAGGGACCTTAAAGATCATCCAGTTCCAACCCTCTGCTGAGCACAGGGACACACCTTCCACGAGCCCAGGTTGCTCCAACCCGGCCTTGGACACTCCCAGGGGTCCAGGGGCAACCAGAGCTTCTTCTGGGCAACCTGTACCAGGGCCTCCCCACCCTCCCAGGGAAGGATTTTGTGCTGATATATAATCTCTGGCAGTTTGAAGCCACTGAGTCCCACTCCAGCTCTGGAATCCCTGTTCTGGGTGTTCCAAGTGCCACTGGTGTTTGAGTGCCCAGCACGGAGAAGGAGTGGAGTCCATTCCCTTTCCAAGTATTCCACAGATCACCTTTGGAACCAAACTGGGCAGCCAGCTGGAATGTTTGAGCAGAGACACTGGTGCTGCTGAGAGGCTTAGATCCCTGTAATCCCCTTTTGTGCTGTGGCCACCCCCAGCTCAGGCAGGAGGATCCTGCTGGGAGCAAAACCCCGTGGCTGGTGCTGTTCCCTCTCCAGCAAAGCAAACATCCTCACTGCTTGTCATCGTGGAACTGTGGCTTGATTTTAGCCTGATACCAAATAATTCTGTGTTTTCTTAGTGCTGTGTTTGATGGCTCCCCATCTTTGGGGCCCCAGAGATAAGAGGTTGTAAGTGCTGTGAAAAGGCTTGAAACCCTGCAGGGCTTTTTTTTTTTTTTGTTTTAATCCCTTCAAGGTTTCAGTTCTTTCTTGTGGTTCTGATGTAACGTGAGAAATTAAAACAAAGGACAGCAGCCAGATGGTGCATCTCCAGGATCAGACAGATTAGTTTTTTTTAAAAAAAAAAAAGGGAAAAGTTTACAAATACTTTATTCTGTCCTCTGGAATAGTCACTTTAGAGGGGATTCTCCTCCTCTCTCTGCTCTTGTGAGACCCCACCTGAGTCCTGCATCTGTCCATCCCCACCTCAGGTTTTGGAGGTGCCCTGAGCAGCTCCTGCAGGGGACTGGCTTGGTTTTGCTGAAAGCTCCTCTCAGTTTGATGAGTTGAGGGTGAGGCTCCAAATTTGCACTTTCCCTGTTGGCTGGGAATTCTTCCCCTTTGTTCGCCCAGGTTGGCTCTGTGGTTACAGAACATTTTCATGCACTCCCAAGTTTCCCTTTTTAGGTTTTCCATTGCTTTGATATTCCATCTAGATAGCTGCTCTGATCCAAGTTATTGCATTTAAATAGTGGATGGTGCAGATCTCTGATCCCAAGGGAAACTGCAGTAAGTTCTGTAACGTGGAGCTTTGAAATCCTAATGTTCTTGCATTTGATGGGTTGCAGGTTTTCCTCAGCTGTTTTCAGGTGAAACCTTTGTGGCACTGGCAAGAGAAGCAAACAGAGCTCAGACTGAAAAATGATTTTTGTCTGCTTGGTTTTAGGGGACATCACACAGAAGGGGTATGAGAAGAAGAGAGCAAAGCTGCTGGCTCCATATGTCCCACAAAGCCAAGGTAGGTCCTTGTTCCATCTGGCATGGGGATTTTGTGGAGCTGTGACATTCCAGGGGTCTGTGGAGCCCCAAGATCCCTCTGCCAGCTCTGGATTATTCTGTTCCATGTGTGTTCCCTGGGTGGATAATCCCACTGTGGAGGTGTGGGGATGCCAGGATTTTACCTGTGGTTCCTGTGGAACTCCAGGGATTCCTGGCAGCTCCAGAGCTCCTGAGCGTGGTCTGTGCCGTGTCCTTCAGCCACTTTAATTCCTCCTTGGAGAAACACGAGGGTTTTCATGATTTGTTGCTTTATTTTGCTTTGCTCCCATCTGTTTCCTTGGGTTCAGAGATCCTGGGCAGCTCAGCTCGTTGGCTGTGGGATAATGACATATAATTGTGAGCTGAAGGACGTGGCTGAACGTGTGTCTGATCATTTCTGTGGGGCTGCTCACCCACAACTGTTGTGTCACTGATCTGCTGAGAGGTTCAGCCATTAACCACTGATGGGTCTGCTTCTGACTGGGTGTGATGGGGAGTCCTGAACGGACCTACTGGAATTTCCCAAGTCTGAGCTGATGCCAAAAAAAAGATAATTAGTGAAGAGTGAAGGCTCCCAGTGCATTTATTGCCCATCAGCACCACAGGACTGGGGGGGAAATGACAGCAGCTCCCTTCAGGCACTTGATGGAGGAACATAAAGCTGTCATGTGGCAACTTCCAGACCCTTCCACGCTGGCTGGTGTCATTCCTGCTCTCCAGCCGTGCTGGTTTCAGGTTGGATTAGGTCGTGAGTTCACTGCAAGCTGGGGCCTGTTCCCTTGTCCGAGATAAAAATTGGGTTTTTTACACAAAAGGTCGGTGTGTTCTGCCAGAGCCACGTGCTGGAGGGAGCAAGGCAAGCAAAAATTGTAATTTAGCCTTCAAACTGGAGATTTTGTTACGAATGAGGGCTGCTCCCTGGACTGGGATGTGATGGGAATCTTGGAGACTCGGTGGCCGCCTTCGTGTCAAATCCATTTTTCTGTTTTAAAGGACCCAGAAAGTGAGATATAAATGACTGATCCCTCTTTAGGAGGATTTGCTGGGTGGGTTTTTAGATTCCCAGGCCAGTGTTTGTGCCCCTGGAGATCCCGGGAGCCCCGGGAGGAAATGTGGGATCCTTTGGTGGCTCCGGAGCCTCTTGGCAGCCCTGCCCTTGTCCCGGGCCTGGGCGAGGCTGGAGATGCCACAATCCCGGGCCCCTCGTTCCTGGCACTGCTCAGGGGTTGGGTTTGTCTCAGAAAACCCTTAATTAGGAGAGGAGAAAAGTGTTTGGCAGGACTGGGAGATTAATTGAGAGCTCGGGGAGCTGCACACGGAGCTGGAGTCCAGGCCCGGGCCCGGGATGGTGGAGGTCACCAATTAACAAAGAGCTTTAATTGCCCTTCCTGCTCAGCCCCCCCAGTTTTTCCTCCCATCTCACACCCAGCTGCCCCAGTGCCTGGGAACCTCCTGTGGTAAAAATCCTGGGGAAGTCGTGCATGAGGGGTTGGGAATAGGGTCACCTTGGTAATGAGGGGAAAATTAATTTACTCCACAACAACAACAACAAAAACAACAAAACCCGCTCAGTGCTGGCTCTGGGCACCTCCCAGTTCTCCCAGCACCATCCTGGGGTTGGCTCAGGGTGTCTCCATTTCGTGGCCCTGAGGTGAGGGAGGGGAGGTGACGTGTCAGGGCACGTCAGAGGCATCACTGAGGAGGTTCCTCCTGCTGAATCCCTGCTCCATTCACAGCCTCTGGCAGCTGCCTGGTTGTTGTGGAGGGAAGGCAGCACAACTCGTTGCCCAGAGATTGATTTTCTTCCTGGTGCAACGTCCATTTTTGTCCGTGGTGATGGAACAGAAGTGCTGCTGCTGCTCTCACTGGGTGGGAACATGACAGAGTTTGTTACTTCAGTGTTTCATTCCATAGAATCGTGGAATATCCCGAGCTGGAAGGGGCTCACAAGGTTCAGCAAAGTCCAACTTCTTGCCCTGAAGTCGTGGCATTTTGGGAAAGAAGTGTTATTTCTGTGCTTCCCTGTGGGCTGACCTGTGTTCCCTGTCCCAGAAGGTCCTTCCTGCCCACCCCCCCAAAATCCAGCAGAAAAAACTCTGCTGTGAAGTTTACTGTTTATTTTTTAATTCTTTTTCTCCCCCTGCCTTTGAGCTTCGTGTTATTCCAAAGAGGAATAACTGGAGGGGACTTGGTGGGTGTCCCTGGGTTCTGGGAGTGTGTTCAGGCTGCCCTGGAAACCCTGGATACTCCAATTTGATGATTTCCATGTTTTTTACAGGCATGTAGCTTGAAAAAAAACCTTTTCCAAGGAACAGCCAGTCCCCCAGCAGCACTGCTGTTCCCTTCCCAGTACAAATGGCAGAGTAACAGGTTTGGCTGCTGCTTCCTTGGGCATTGCTGTCCTCGTTATTAATGCAAACATTTATCCTTGTTGATCTTCCAGTGATTCAGTCTCTGAATCTCCAAACACAGGGATCACAAAACAGTCAGTTCTCATTAGAATCCGAGGGTGATTACCAAACCCACAGCATCCTTCAAAAAGCCAGCGATAAATAACAAATATAAATAATTCATTTTTCCTCTCTCTCTCCGCCGTGTTCGTCACGTTCCTGCCGGTGGAAAGCAGGATAATTCCGAAGGCAACGTGGAATAAATCACCTGTCACCTGCCAGGCTGGGCTCCCTCGTGCTGCTCTGTTGTGCAACCACCAGTGATTTACACTTTCCCCTCCTCTGAACGCTCTGTGAGGCCGCTGCAACGTGTTATTATGTCAGAGCAAAAGACTGAAACAAAGAGCTCCTTCTCGTGTGTCATGTCACTTCCAGGCACCTTTGATCCCTTCCTGACTGGAATGTCATGTTTGCTGTGTGATGCCCCGCAGAGAGACGAGAGGCTTTCTGCAAGACTTACGAAAGAACCGAATAGGAATTTAATAATTCGTGTTAAAATAGTGTTAAATCTGCTGCTGACATCTAGTGGGTGCCTGAATCGGTAAATACTCGGGGGATCAGGAAACATGAGGCTCTTCTGACTCTCAGCTGGTGAAGTTGTGTTGCCCTTGGATCAAAACAAAGCCCTCTGGGGTTGGGTGAAGGCAAATAAATGCTGCAGAGGTGTCTGTTTAGCTCCCTGTTTTCACGGGCAAAAACAACTTTTCCTGGGTGATAAAGCCCCACACTTGGTGAGCTGAAGGGAGCCAGGACTGGCCAGCTGGAGGTCTCTTTGGGTTTGTAATTAGTGGGGACAGCAAAGGCTCTTGCTGCTGGTTTGTTATTGGTTTTCCAGTCAATAATGAGCTGGTCACTGGGATGTGGAGTGACAAACCAGCTTCCCAACATCCATGGAAGAGCAGGGTTTAGAAAAAGCTCCTTTTATCCCCTGCTCCCTGTTTTCCAGGGGTTGATCCAGCGTTACAGAAGGAATCCAGAGCACCTCAGATGCCTGCTCCATCCGCAGCTCCAGCCTCATCCTCCTCCTCCTCCTCCTCCTCCTCCAAATTCCACCGCGCTCGCTCGGGGGGAGCCCGAGATGAACGGTATCGCTCCGGTAAGGGCAGGGCAGGAGCCACCTGGGCCCCTCCTCGTGGGGAGGAACGTGCTCTGTCCTCTCAAGGGATCAGAATTATTATTGCACAACTCCCCTGGGGTGGTTCCCTGCAAAGAAACATCGGACTCGTGGGGCTGCAGCTGCTGAATCAACAAGAATTATTATTATTAAGTCGAAAAAGCAAATAATTTGTTGCCTCCTCCCAAACTCCTGCTCTGCTTCAGGAATGGGCAAGGTGGTGGCACCCGTTTTTTATCTCCACCTGGTTTTGTTTTTCACTTTGCAATGGCAAGAATTAACATTTTCCTCTCGATGTGGGCAAATTAAGCTCATCAGGGCTCCCTTCCCCATCGTATCCCCCCATTCCGTGGAGCGTTAGGAGAGCCCAGTTTGGGCTCTGCAAAAGCATAATTAAAACACATCAGTCTGAGAAGTGAATGTAGATGAGCTCTCCCTGGCCACAGCAGGTTTTTAACAAGTTGGTTCCTCCTCACCAGTGGTGTGTGTCTTCCTTTAAAGAGCTCTGGGGCTTGCAGAGGGGTGGAAGCCTCAAGTCCCAGCCTGCTTCAGTTCCTGATCAGCCTGCATTTACAACCACAGCTAAACTTCCAAGATTTACATGAAATCTGCATCCATTTGGGAACAGGAGGTTTTTCCTAAACCAGGCAACTGTCAGTGCACAGACCTGGCTGCACCTGGGGCTGCACACCCTCGGTGCATGTTCAAGCTGTGCACAGGCATATTTTAGGATAATCTTTGGCCGAGGGGAAAGAGCTGGTGGGGTTGAGCTTTCTCTCTGAAAGTTGCTGGTGACACAAGGGTATATAATGACTAATCCAGAACATTCCAGACTTAAAAAAAAAAAGCCCTGCCTTCAGCTTGCCAGACTTCAGGAACCCTTCCTGTCCCCAGATATCCACACGGAAGCGGTGCAGGCGGCGCTGGCCAAGCACAAGGAGCAGAAGATGGCCCTGCCCATGCCCACCAAGCGACGCTCCACGTTTGTCCAGTCCCCAGCAGATGCCTGCACTCCCCCAGGTGAGCCTTGGGAAGGGCCAGGGGCTCAGCAGCAGCCAAGCCCAGGGGCTGCAGAGGGCTGAGTGTTCCAGCTCTTCACACACCGGGAAGAGACTCCCACACTCTTCGTCCTGGAGCTCTGTCAGGGCTGGGGAAGGGGCTCCTCTTCCAGGAGTTCTTAAAGAACCACCTGGTGGGACTTTTGGGGTGTCCTCTGCAAGGCCTGGAGTTGGACTCAGATGATCCTTGTGGGTGCAGCTCTGGGTATTCCATGGACATGATTCAGGCTGGCCAGGCCTGCCCCGAGGCCGGCTCTGCTTCCCTCACTCCTGTTCCTGCTGCATAATTCACGTCTGGATTTCGTTAAGGTTCAGTGCTCAGCACACAGGAGGAGGATTTGCAGTGATGAACATTTCTGGGCAGGGACCTCGGAGGGGTCTGGTGGGATTCCAGCCTTGCAGGACTTTTCCCACCCCTCCCTGTGTAGTGGCTGCAGCAGAATCCTCCCCCCCCCCGGATAACGTGGTGTCTGGTGTGGTGCACGTGCAGCAGACATGGATAACCCTCTGTTTTCCAGCAGCAGACATGGATAACCCTCTGTTTTCCAGCAGCAGACATGGATAACCCTCTGTTTTCCAGCAGCTGGAATGCACTGGCTTCCAAACGAGTCCGTGTTGGTTTTCTGTGTCGTGTCTCATCGTGCAGAAGCATCGCAGCCATTTGGATGGACAAAGTCATCCAAATGTTATGAATCCCTGTCTCCTGGGGGGATTCATATCCCTGAACCCGCTCTGCTGGGCCATGTCACTTCTCCTCTTCCTCTTCCTCCTCCTCCTCCTCCTCCTCCCTACCTCCTGCTTTATCACACTTCCTTCTCTCCCTTCCTCTCTCCTGGGGGCTGGTGCATGTTCCTGGTGTCTGCTTTGGGGCTCAGCTCTGTGCTCACTTGTCCAGGACTGCAGCACATCCCGAGCTGGGGGTGTCACGTGGATAAAGGTCAGCATTTCCAGCGGGGCTGGATTCAGTCCCACTCCACTCCCTTCCACTCTGGCAAGTGGGTAGGACATGATTTGATAGTTTAATTTACCACTTGAGTGTAGGCAGAAAATCACTTTTGAGAGCACCTAAATTTTAGGCCAGAGCCACCTGAGTGTGTTTAGCACCAGCATCCCAAGTCCTGAGTGCTGGCTCCGTGATAAATAACTCCTGAGCTCACAATTTGGGGACAGCTGAGGTGTCCGTGCTCTGGGACGCACAGGAACAGTTCCTTGTTGCAGATTTCTCTGTTTTGTTTTGGGGCTGGGCTTTTTGTTTGTTTTCTGAGGTTGAAAGGGCCCCATTTAGAGCCCTGGACAAAAGCATTTTCTGCTGCGGCCTTGGCACGGCCGTTCCCTGAGTTCTGCTTTGTTCCTGGGAGTTTGCTCTGCCACAAGGACACTGAGCCCTCACTTCCCAGCTCAGAACTAGGCAAAGCAGCATTTGATATCGTGGAACATGAAGGGAAAAGCAATGAGGGATAAATCCTAAGGCTTGGAGAAGCCAGGGGAAGGGCGTTGCCTGAGGTGAATCGAACAGGGGTGAGTGTGTTCCCACCTGCTTTAATGGTTTGACCAGTGCAACAAAGCCGTGGAAAACAGACCCTCTGTGGAAAAAGCCTGTTGATATGTGATTGGAAAGAGCATGTTCAGTGCCATGTGCTTTTCCCCTGAGCAGTTAGATTTTCTCTCTGCTTCCACACAGACACGTCTTCCGCCTCCGAGGACGAGGGCTCGCTGAGGCGCCAGGCCGCTCTCTCTGCTGCATTGCACCAGAGCTTACAGAATGCTGAGTCTTGGATCAACCGATCTGTTCAGGGGTCATCCACATCCTCATCAGCATCCTCTACGCTTTCCCATGGAGAAGGCAAAGGGACCAGTGGGTCACTAGCTGATGTATTTGCCAATACTCGAATAGGTAGGAGCCGGGTGCCGACAGAACCGGTCGCTTCGAGTTCAGACTGTGTTGATAAAGCTGGAGTTGTCCCTCCCCACCACGGGGAAATTTGGAGTGAGGGTTTAGCTGGTGTTGATGGAACCTGCCAGGGCTGGTTGGAGTCCCACCATCACCTTGGGTTTTTTCCCCCCGAAGAGTTTCAAGGCAGTTGGAAAAGGGGCAGCGGGAGCAGGAGCCTCTGGAAGCAGAGGAGGCTCCAGGGACAGCGTGGGCAGAGCAGGAGGCACAACCTCTGTGCTGTGTTGCTTTGTGTCTACAGCTCTCCTGTGGGCACAGAACTGCCCCGTGCAAGTGGCTTTTCCATCCGTGTCCCAAATTCCTTGGGGTGTCTGTGCCCGTGGAGTGGGGAAGTGCTGTGTTTGCCCATCCTCATCTGAGCCCTGAGGGTTTGTTGTCTGCCTTAGATCAGGAGAGAGAAAGAGCCAAACCCAGCCTTGTGTGTGTGAACAAATGAACCTGCCCTTAAAAAAAACAAAAAAAAAAGGGTTAATCAGAGTAAAGCTTCAGCCCAGCTCTGCCCTGGCTGGCTGAGGAACAACCAGAGCATCCAGGTACTGAGGAGACGGAGCAGAATCTACAGATCTGGATCCCCCAGGCTCAGTTTTCTGAGGCTCTGAGGTGCTCCTTTGCTGCTGATGCTTCTGTATGAAATGGCCAAGTTTGTTTTTTTTTTTTTTTTTTGCTCTGTGTATGTTTTTGTCCTTTTTTTAGCTGCTGGGGAGGGAATTCCTGCACCTGTAGGACATGTCTGTATTCCGTGTGCTCTCTGCTTCTGCTTAACTGGTTTGGGGGCAAGCAGTGCATAGAAGTGCTGGTGGTTTGGACTGTTTCAACTTATTTGTTTTGGGTTTTTTTATTGCTGTTATTTTTGTCTGTTTATTTGCTGGGATGCAAATTGTTTCCTGAAATGGACAACTGAGGAAATTGCCCATAAAATGTAGTCGATATAATGAATGTCTTTGAAGCAGAGAGGCTGTTTTTAATTGGAGAATGCAGAAAGCCACGTTACCTTTTGTAATGAATTAAGGTAATACAGCTTTTCACCGACAGAATATCTCCTGTCTAATCTAATCAGTGTTTTATGCACAGTAGAAGCTTTAAATCTGTGTCAGAATTATATTTGTCACATTCACCCCGTGTTAAAAGCTGATTTAAGTGTATAGAACTCAGACAATTCTGTGCATCTCTCTGGAGAGAGAAATAAAAAGTCCTGCAGATGTTTGGATTGCACAAATCCAGGTCCTTCCCAGTGATCTGAGAAGTGCAGTGCTTGGGAAGTGTTTCTTGCCACTGTATCTCCAAAGGGATGCAGAAATGGGTCAGTTTTAATCCCTGGAAAAAAGGGAAATCAACACAGAACCAACCACAAAACCCTTTCAGTGGGAATTATGTAGGATCTGGCTCCAGGCTCTCTGAGCTTCGAATCTGTTGGGTTTTTTTTTCCTTTGTAAGCACCAGTTGCTGGTGCTGTTAAGCCAGAATAGAATATTCTTGCCCTATCAGATGACTGAACCCGCTGGGTCGTGTAAAGAAATCCCACATAAGCAAAAAGCCCTTTATTTAAGAGAGATTTCCCTGGAAAATTCCTGCAGGATGCACTTCCAGCCTCTTCTCCAAGGCAGGACAGTGTCCTGCACCTTCAAGCAGCTCACACTGTTGGTGGGGTTTGTTCTGTCAGTGCTGGACAGGCTCTGTAACCACCCAGCTGGAAGGAATTGAAACCCAGCTCGATTTTTGCTGATCTGCTTTGGTCAAACTCTCACGTGGTTTTGTTTTTGAAAGCCCTGACCGACAAAAAAAAGCTAAACAGTAGAATTCTAGCCAGAGGAGTCAGTGCATAGGTGAGGGAGGGGTTTGTGCTGGGCTTTGGAGATTTCAGAGCTCACGTGAATCTCAAACTTTTATATTTCTTTTATTTTTTAATTTTATTTTTAAAGTACAGAATGTCACCAGGTTGAGCTTCAAGGTTTAGAAACCAAGAACAGGAATCCTGCTTTGCTGAACCACTTTCCTGACATGGAGCCTTTGGCTTTTGGTTTTTCCAGAGCAGATAAATGTGCTTCACATTTAGGGGATCAGAGTGTTTTAGCATTTAATAAACAGACATCCAACCCCTTAAACCCTTAATGTTGGTGACAGGTCACTGACAACTCTTTTTTTGCTTGTGCCACCCGATTTAAAAGGAGTATTTAACCGATTTCTTCCCTCTTTTTAGAGAATTTCTCAGTCCCCCCAGATGTCACAGCAACTACCTCCACCCCCTCGGCCCGGCCGGCGGCGATCGACCTCCCTCCCTCTGGAATTGTCAAGGGGATGCACAAGGGATCCAACCGCTCCAGCCTCATGGACACTGCTGATGGTAGGCAGGGAAGGGCACAAAAATGACAGGTGCATTGTGGGGCTGATTGGTTTGGAAAGATTTTTGTCCCAGAGTCCCCAAAAAAGGGAAAAGAAAGAACGGAATGATGGAATTCCGGGCTCCTGGTTGAGCTCCCGTGGAGCTGAGGATGCTCCAGGCTGTCTGGGTGAAAGCTTTGTGCAGGAGGGGACACTGGTGTCCTGGTGTGTCCCCTCTGCTGGTGCTGGAAAGCAGGATTTGGAAGGGAGGAAATGCTTTAAAAACCAAATCTCTGTTCGTGGCGTTTTCTGACCGGAGTTAACGCAGAGCTGGTGTAAAATTAAATGTCCCTCCTGCACTGGCACAGCTTTAATAACAGAAACCAGGGGCTGAACCAGTGGGTGCCCTGCACTGGGAGGAGCTGAGGTGTAAATGTTTGTAAGAGGCACGGGAAGAACACTTTTGTTGGCCCAAATCTTCCCCTCCAGGTGTCCCTGTGAGCAGCAGAGTCTCCACCAAAATTCAGCAGCTGCTCAACACCTTGAAAAGGCCCAAAAGACCACCCCTGAAAGAATTCTTCGTGGATGACTTTGAAGAAATCGTGGAAGGTAATGGCACAAATAATGGTTTTATTCATCATTTGTTACTGTCACACCTGCAAAGAACTGAATTAATTTGTGCCCTGGTTGACTCTGATTCAGTGTTTGCAGCAGCCTCCATGAAGAGTCTGACACAAAACCAGTGTTTGAAGTAATTTACTTGTTCTGCTGAGCTCTGGGGGACCTCCTCAGCACTAAACTTCTTAACAAAACTATTTAAATAGGTTTTTGAAACCCCTTCATTTGCTTAGGCCACGCTAATTAATTTCCCAGAAGGGATTGTCTTTACTGGAGGTTTCATCCCAGCCATTATTTTTGTAAGGTTTCCTTTTCTCCACCTCTGTGTTCCTGCCCCTCACTTGATGTGTTGAACACCTTTAAACAGCTCCCCTGGGAGAAGACTGTTCCCCATGGCTTGTTTTGGGCAGAAATGGGCTGGGCTGGGGGTTTTTAAATGCTGAAAACGTTTGTTTTCAGTGTCTTCCCAGCTCAGCTGTCGGGTGATGGATGGGGAAAGGAGTGGGAATATCGTGTTTGGATTGTGTTGGAAACATTCCTGTATATCTCCTGGAAATAGTGTTGCATTTTCTCAGTCCCCCAGCCCGACCCCAACCAGCCCAAGCCCGAGGGCAGGCAGATGACCCCGGTGAAGGGGGAGCCCCTGGGAGTGGTTTGTAACTGGCCTCCTGCCCTGGAAGCAGCTCTGCAGCGTTGGGGGACCACCCAGGCCAAGTGTCCCTGTCTGACAGCCCTGGATGTGACAGGAAAACCCGTTTACACCCTCACATACGGTGAGTGGGGGCCGAGCCCTCCCTGCCCCTGCTCACAGAGCAGCAGTGGGGACAGCACAGGTGGGGAAGGGGCTCCCAAAAACCCCCCTGGCCACACCAGGGGGTGAGAGCAGCCAGGGGCTGAACTGTTCCCCTGTGCTGGCTGGTTTGGAGCTGTGCAAGTCCCTGTTCTCTTGTGTTCCAGGCAAACTGTGGAGCAGAAGTCTCAAGCTGGCCTACACCCTGCTCAATAAACTGGGGACCAAAAACGAGCCTGTGTTAAAACCTGGAGACAGGGTAATCACTTTGGGGCTGCCTGGTTCTCCTTCTGGGCTTTTTGGGGGGCTGTAATTTGCCACAGGCACCAGGATCTTGTGTTCTTTTCACAGCAGTTCCCTGATCCCAGGGACAGGCTACTCGGGGAAAGGAATTCCTGTAATTTTGCAGTGGCTCTGGCTCCTCTGGGAGCAGCTTTTTATCTCTGAGCTTTGAAATACATCTGAGGCAGAGCTCTGCAGCTCTGAGAGAGACCCAGAGTGTGGGTTTTGAGACCCAGACTCTGTGTTTTGGCTGTGTGAGCAACCCTCACACGTGGGGACACCTGGGAACGGTGACGTGACTCCGTGAGGAGCTCAGGCCCATTCCATGCCTTCTGTGGGAGGAAAAAACATGAAAAAGCACAAAGTTTCCTTAGTTTTAGTCCCTGCAGGTCTGAACTGTGCAGCTCTGACTTCTGTTTCAAGTAACAACACACCTGTGTGGGTTGCAGGTGGCCCTTGTCTACCCCAACAACGACCCCGTGATGTTCATGGTGGCATTTTATGGCTGTCTGCTGGCAGAAGTGATCCCAGTGCCTATAGAGGTACCTCTTACCAGAAAGGTAACGTTGCTGGAACTTGGAGGAGCCGTGGGCTGATGGTGGGATGGAAACCAAGTCAGACCATCAGCCTCTGACAGCGTTTTCCCAGCCTCCAGCTGCTGCCTGGGCAGCTCCGTGTGCCCACGAGGACCTCTGGGAGCCTGGAATGGCATTTCCAAGTGGAAAAATGTATTGACCAGAGCTGTGCTGACCCCTCCCTGCAGCTCATTTCTGGGGAAGGCAGAACAGGGAGGACCTGCCCCCCTGGGTGATGGGAGGGGGCTCAGTCCAGCCTTGCTGGGCTCTGCCAGGCTTTGGCTCTGCTGGACAAGAAGGTGCTCGGTGTCCCTGAAGATTTCTGAGGCACTTCTTGTGAATTATCTGCTCCACAAAAGTGTTTTCCTCACCCCTTACCAGAATCTCTGCACTGTTGCCACATAAACCAGAGGATTTCCTAAGGGAAGCAAAAGCAACAGTCTCCTGGCAAACATGTGGCAGGAGAGGTGGGAGCTGGTCTGGGAATGCTCTGGGATCACAGAGCTCTGATTCCATTTCTCTGCACGAACTGCTGTGGCAACCACGTGCAAAATTCAAACCTGTGCAGGATTTGCCCTGATTGAGCCTCCTCATTTCGGGGTTTTTGTCACTGTGCAGCAGGAATCAGCTCCTGGGGATGGAGAGGTCTCGTTATTTCACTGTAATTACACGATCTGCTTTTTGGTTTTGCCTCTTGATTCCTCTTTGGAGCATCTGGGTTTCCATTAATGACACTGGATGGGGTGTGAGCCCTGCCTGGATGCTGGGCAGAAGCACTTGTTCTCTCTGGATTTCACATCCAGTGCATTTTAATCCCGCCAGGGACGTATTTCACAGAATCCCAGGATGGCTTGGGTTGGAAGGGACCTTAAATCCCACCCAGTTCCACCCCCTTCCATGAGTAGGAACCCTTTCCACTAGGCCAGGTTGCTCTAATTGTGATTCTGAGTGTTTGTGGGAATGGGTTATTTCTTTTTCTTCTTCTTCTTCTTCTTCCTCCCCAGTTCCCAGAGCGTTACCAAACCCTGGATTTTGGTGAGGGGGAAATCTCACTTCAGGTCACCTTAGAACAGGGAGTGACTTTTCCCCCTCTTCCCTCAGGATGCTGGTGGGCAGCAGATTGGCTTCCTGCTGGGGAGCTGTGGCATTGCCCTGGCCCTCACCACTGAAGTGTGTCTGAAAGGGCTCCCAAAAACCCAGAACGGAGAAATCGTGCAGTTCAAAGGTGAGTCAGCTCTGTGCCAGCTCCTGATGCTGCTTCTGCTGGAGCTGGACTGGCTGAAAGGAGCTTCCAGGAGCCTGGAGGCATCTCGGGGGGGGCAAAGGGGGCGACTTCTGGTCCTGTCACCAAACTGTTGTGGGTTTTGAGTGCGTGGTGAGATCAGTCCACGTGCCTGGTGGAACTTTGGGGGTTCTGGAAGCCACGAGGAACCACCTCAGGGTTGTCCTCAGGTCCCTTCAGTGGCCCTTGGCAGGTTCCAAGGCAGTTTATTCCCAGTACAACAGGGTATTTTTAGGAATGCTGCAGGGATCTTTCCTGAGGAGAAGGAAGTACCTTGTTGCCCACTGAACTCCCTGATGAGAAACGAGACGAACCTTCTGGTTGGTAGCTGGGCTTGGCTTGGAATTCTGCTTGTGTAACTGGACTTGGACAAATGATGGGGTTTAGTGCATTCCTGCAGAATATAAATCCCTCAGTAAATAAGCTGATATTAATGTGCTGTTTAATTTTGGCTCCAGGTTGGCCCAGGCTCAAATGGGTTGTGACAGATTCAAAATATCTCTCCAAATCTCCCAAGGACTGGCAGCCCAACATCTCAGCAGCAGGAACTGAGCCAGCATATATTGAGGTAAGTGGTGAATGGGGAATGGAAAGTGGCTTCCATGAGCTGAATTTAATGTTCTAATCACCAGAGAGAGAATAGTTTCACCTCACTCCCTTCAACTCCCCACTTTCTTGCCGCTGAAACGAGGCTTTCACTGGGGACATCCTGCTGGGAAGCTCCTTTTAGTTTTTGAGTTTTAGTTTTTGGGTCCCTTCGTGGCCTTGGGCACTGCTTGGAATGAGCTGGAGAACTGTTCTTGTTCCAGAAAGTGAGGAGTGGAGGCAGCTGAGCCCTGAGATGGTGCTTGATAACACACATTCAGTTTGAGTTCTCAGTTCTCCCTGGCAGAGCTGATCTTTGTTTGTGGGCCAGAAGGCAACTTCCAGGGGCTGCAGTGATTTGAGGGGTGATTTGGCCATCCTTCAATCCCAGCCTGGCTTTTCAGTTTGTTGTGGGAGCAGGAAGAGATGCTGTGAGCATCAGTGACACCCATTTTATCCCCCATTCCCTGGAGCTGCCCCCACAAGAACCATCCCCTGGGGGCTGACCCTGCCAGCAGGTGGGTTTGGGGTTTGTCTCAGCAGCTTCAGAGAAAGGAAACTTGCTTTCCATTGCATTTTGTGGTTGAATCTCCTCCACCCTCCCTGACTCTCTCCTCTCTCCTGCAGTACAAGACCAGCAAGGAGGGCAGTGTCATGGGGGTCACGGTGTCCCGGGTGGCCATGCTGGCCCACTGCCAAGCCTTGTCTCAGGCCTGCAACTACTCTGAAGGTGGGTGAGGGCACAGGACATCAGAGGAACAGAGGGTCAGCAGCCTCATTTGGTGTGGTTGCCTCTCCTGCGTTTCACAGCAGTCTCTTGAGTGACCAAGAGCTGCTTAAAAAAAAATAATAAAAAGCACAGGTTAATTCTTCCCCAGAAGTGAAGGCTGAGTGTGATGTTTTTCCATCCAAATTTGCATCATTTTGACAACCATGATGAAGAGGAGTAAAAAGTGGGGTTTGCATCATGTCTGGGGAGTTGCTGGGTCTGTTCTGCTGAACCAAAAGGGGAGCAAATGAATTGAAGCCAGAGCATTTTCCAGCGAGCTCAAGTCCCCTCTGATCCCACATGGAAATGTCTTCCCAAACTTTTGTTCCTGAGAGTGTGTAAATACCTCTTGCTGGGGCTGTCCTGGTCCCATAAGGCTTTTTTTTTTTTTTGGGTAACCCAGAAGTGGAGATGGGAAAACTCTGGTGAGATTTCCAGAGAGTTCTGCTCTAGGATATGGTTTTAGTCTGGTCTGCCTTGTAATTCAAGCTAATTCCTTGATCCACGAGAGACTATTTATAGAGCTGCAGGTCAAAGTGCTTTAAAATGCAAAGTCTGTCTTTTGGAAGCCATCACTTGAGTTTCCATTGCTTCTGGGAGTCAGGGCTTGAATGATGTTCCCTGCTCCCCTTCCCTTCCTTCCCCACTCGTGCATGACGAGGCTCAGAGCCTTCCTGTCCTGCTGATGGGCTGTTCCAGGCTGGGGATGTGATTTCCTGGCAGCTTTCTGGGCCGTGTTCCTGCTCAGAAATGGATGTGCAGTTGTTATTTAGCATAGCAAGGGGCTGGGAGCAGCCACACGTGTAAGGAGGGCTCTGCAAGGAGGGCTCTGCCTGCCCGTGGAGCAGCTCTGGCAGGGGCAGGGACAGGTTCATCCCTGGGCACATTCCAGCAGCTCTCCTGCCACCTTGCACTTCACAACTCCAGCTTTCTTTTCCCAGGGGAAACGATAGTGAATGTGCTGGACTTCAAGAAGGATGCAGGGCTGTGGCACGGAATCCTCACGGTGAGTTGGAGCGTTCCAGAGCCCCCTGGAATTAATGAGAGGTTAATGACTAATGATTGCATCAGATGTTAGGGAAAAATTCCTCCCTGGGAGGCTGGGGGGAGGCACTGGAATGGTTTTCCCAGAGAAGCTGTGGCTGCTCCATACCTGGAAGTGTCCAAGGCCGGGTTTTCCTGGGATAGTGGAGTGAGAGGAGCTTTGAGGTCTCTTCCAGGCCAAACCAGTCTGGGATTCCTTGAGTCAGTGAAATATGGTAAAGGCAGCATTTGAGGGCCATCACCTGTTAAACCAACCATTTCTCTCCCTGCCACATCTGCAGTTCTCCCAGGGAATCACAGAACCATCCCCACTGAACCCCTGTGAATTCTTGGGGGGGGGTTGATGGGGACTGAGAGTGACTCTCAAACTCTGCTCGAGAAAAGGTTTGTGAGCCCTTTTCCAACCACCTTTCTCCTGCTTTTCAGAATGTAATGAACAAGCTGCACACCATCAGCGTGCCCTATTCTGTGATGAAAACCTGCCCTCTCTCCTGGGTGCAGAGGGTCCATGCCCACAAAGGTAACTCAGGACATCCCACAGCTCCACCTTGGAGCTCTCAGGGGGGCATTAAAATCTCAGATGCATCAGATCCCATCTTCTTGCCCTCCCCTGACAAATCTCAAGGGACGAGAGTGTCACTCACATCCAAAAATTTTTATTTGGCAGCAGTAGATGCAATTTTCTGGATGCTCAGGCAGGGCTGGAGCTCGTGTGAGGCTCAGGGGGAGATTTTAAGCCCCCAACATCGTGTAGATACCTGCAAATCTTCTTACAGGGGTGATTTGCCACCAGTGTTCCAAGGCTGGTTCCACCAGTTTGCCACCTGCTCCAGGGCTGGAACAGGAATGTGACAGCAGGTTGGGAGGGCAGGGGACTGTGCCATTTATTTCTAAATATGCACAAATTCTAATTTATTCCTGAATAAATCCTAATGCCGTGTGAGCATGGGGGAACTTGGTGGGGACCTCCTGACTTGGAGCCAGTTTCTTGGATGAAACCAAGGGAATGGTTGAGCACAGCAAGAGCTGTTGGATCCCAGGGCATCCAGGGGGTGGTAATGATTTGTGGCCTTTGGAGGAGGAGCTGTGAGGGTGACAGACCCTGGCTCAGGTGGTGGGCAGTGGCCTGGAGGCCACAGCAGATGCCACCGTGTGTTGGGTTTGCTGTTAAGCAGGCTCAGTTCATTAAGGCTTCCTTGCTTTGGTGAGAGCTTCCTCCTTTGGGAATGTGGATGACAGTGACTCGTGGAAGGTTTTTGTTTGTCCTTACCTGTGGTTTTGTGTGTTGGTTTGCAGCAAAAGTGGCTTTGGTGAAGTGTCGAGACTTGCACTGGGCCATGATGGCCCACAGAGACCAAAGAGACGTCAGTCTGAGCTCCCTGAGGATGCTGATCGTCACTGATGGTGCAAATCCCTGTGAGTGGGGGCAGCCTGGGGGCTCCCAGGGCAGGGGGGGCTCAGCTGGTGTCCCGTGGGATCAACCTCCACTCCTGCAGGAGACACCCCCGAGGAGATCTCGGAGCTCTGGCTCGTGGTGCTCGGGCACCAGAACGAGGGGTTCCCATCCTTCCACCCCTTGGGGTCTGAGAGATCCTGCAAAGTACAGGAAAAGGTTGGGCTGGGAGCAGTGGGGAGACAGTTTATAAAATCAGAGAATTGTTTAGGTTGGAAAAGACCTTTAAGATCATCGAGCCCAGCTGCTTCCCCAGCACTGCCACCTTCACCACTGAGCCACGTGCCCAAGTGCCACATCCACACGTCTTTTAATTCCCTCCAGGGCTGGTAACTCCACCACTTCCCTGGGCAGCCTGTTCCAGCCTTTCAGTGAGGAGATTTTCCTTAATATCCAACTTGAACCTCCCCAGCACAACTCGAAGCTGCTTCCTCTCGTCGTTTCCCTCCTCCTCCTCCCGACCCTTCCCATAGATGGGCATCAAATCAAATCCTGTGAGGTCCTAGTGGGACATTTTCTCTCTTCCCAGGGTCTGTCTCCTCCTGTGATGCCTTCCTGAGCTTGTTCCAGAGCCATGGGCTCAAACCAGAGGCGATTTGTCCCTGTGCCACCTCCCCCGAGGCGATGACCATCGCGATCCGGAGGTACTGACGCCGGGTTTGACTCATCCAGGCTGGGCTTTGTTCACACATGGCTTGCTCAGAGTTGATTTAAACGTGTAATGAACTCCACTGACATTTGCTGGGTGTGCTGAGATACCTGGAGAGGCTGAGCTGATAAATATCCCTCCTGAGACACGAGTGTGTGCTGGGCTGGGACAGCTCGGCAGGGCCTGGCCACTGCTTTTCCTGCTCCTGATCCCCACAGCTGCTTGTCCTGCTCCTGATCCCCACAGCTGCTTGTCCTGCTCCTGATCCCCACAGCTGCTTTTCCTGCTCCTGAGCTCCACATCTGCTTGTCCTGCTCCTGATCCCCACAGCTGCTTTTCCTGCTCCTGATCCCCACAGCTGCTTGTCCTGCTCCTGATCCCCACAGCTGCTTTTCCTCCTCCTGATCTGCACAGCCAGGGGGGTGTTGGGAGTCACAGGGTCACAGGATGGGTGTTCTGAGCCTGGGGTTAGATTTGAGATCACTCTGGACATTTCCATACTCTGCCTTCTGTGACAAACAGCCCTGCAATCATCTGGCCTGGGAGCTGGGGGTTAACACTGGGGGAGATAACGAGCTGGGAGAGGAGCTGCACTGCCCAGGAACACAATTCCTTAGGGACTGATCAGAGTGGCTCTTCTGGGAGGCAGTTCCTCCTGCCCATCTCGGTTTTAAGTCACTGTGCAAAGCAGAGACACTGAAATCCTCCTCTTTCTGTTGCTGTGGTGTCTCCAGCCGGGTGCCTGATGGAGTGTGTTCATTGATTTTGTGTCCTTCAAAGGCCTGGAGTCCCTGGGGCCCCTTTGCCAGGCAGAGCCATCCTGTCCATGAACGGGCTGAGCTTCGGGGTGATTCGGGTCAACACTGAAGATAAAAACTCTGCTCTCACCGTCCAGGACGTTGGCCACGTGATGCCAGGAGGTAAAAACAGGCAGGAAACTCCTACAAGACCTTTCTGGGGCTGTTTTAGGAGAGGAACAGGTCAATCTTCTCTCCCATAGCCAGCCTTGGTGTGGGGAAGGTGGGGCAGGGCCAGGCTCTCATTCCTGTCACCGTTCAGGGGGTCACTTCTCACCCAAGGCCAAGTCTGGGGGCTGTTTTAACAAAGCCTGCTCTGTCCTAGGCATGATGTGCATTGTGAAACCTGATGGGCCACCCCAGCTCTGCAAAACAGACGAGATTGGTGAGATCTGTGTGAGCTCCAGAGCAGGAGGGATGATGTACTATGGGCTGGCAGGGGTGACAAAGAACACTTTCGAGGTATGTACAGCAGAATGTCCTTGCCCTGTTTCCTCTGTAAAACTGGTAGCCTTGTGTAATCCCTTGGGTTTGTAACTGAAGTGTTAATGTTGTTTTTTTAAAAAATATACCCTGGGAAGCTCCTGACAGTCAGGGGTATTCAGCATTCCCCTTGCACTGACTGCACCGAGGGCTCCCTCCCCTTCGCTCACATGAAGGGGGGTGGGGAAGGTTTTTCTGTCCTCAGGCAAACCCAGTGGCCTCCAAGGTGCTCCCCACTGTGTTGCAGGTGATCCCTGTGAACTCCTCAGGCTCTCCAGTGGGGGAAGTGCCCTTCGTCCGCTCCGGCTTGCTGGGATTTGTCGGCCCCGTACGTGAGGCAGCTCCGAGCTCGGCTCTGTCCCTCTGCTCGGGGCCTCCAGGGGCTCAGAGAGAAGCCCCTGGGGCCAGAGGGGGTGTGGGGAGAACTCAGAGGTTGTTCTCCTTGTGCTGCAGGGCAGCCTGGTGTTCGTGGTGGGGAAGATGGACGGGCTGCTGATGGTGAGCGGGCGGAGGCACAACGCCGACGACATCGTGGCCACCGGCCTGGCCGTGGAGTCCATCAAGACAGTTTACAGGGGAAGGTCAGCACGAGAAACCCCCATGGAATACAGGGAAACAGGGTCTTCAGTGTTTTCTTGGATTTCCCTTTGGGCAGCTCAGTTAAAGCCAATGTATTTTTGACTCAGGTGGGGATTGGCCCGATCCTGCCCGACCAACACGGGTCTTTTTCCCCACTGTCCACCCTCTTCCCAGTGTCCAGCCTGGCTTTCCATCGAGTCTTTGTGCCTTAGGGGAAGGAGTCCCAAGGCAGCCCCATGGAGAATTTAATTCTCTGTCTCTGCAGAGTTTTAGTCCTTAGCTGCTGGCTGGTGCTCTGCAGCAAGGCAGGGTTTCATTAATGCCCAAAGACACTTGGGTTTTATTTGGCAGTTGTTGGTAGCATTTTCTGCATCCTCAGGCAGGGCTGGATCTTGTGTCTCCAGAGGGAGATTTTAAACCATCATGTGGGTGCCTTTAAGGCTTCTTGCCTTGGTGATTTGCCACAGGTTGGAACAGGAACGTGACAGCAGGTTGGGAGGACAGGGGACTTTGCCATGTGGAAGTTTCACCGGGAGATGGAATTAACCCCTTAAACACTCCCCAGTCTTTCCTTTTCCACTTGAATTGCCTGATGATTTTTTTTTTCTCTCTGTCTTTGCCGCCCTGGTTATTTTCACAAGCTCTGCCTTGTGTTCCCAAGGAACAGAGCTGGAATTTGTGCCTCTGGGGCTCTCCCCCTTTCCCGTAGGATCGCCGTGTTCTCCGTGTCCGTGTTCTACGACGAGAGGATCGTGGTGGTGGCGGAGCAGAGGCCGGATGCCTCCGAGGAGGACAGCTTCCAGTGGATGAGTCGGGTGCTGCAGGTCAGGGGGGGACTTCTTGGGGGGTGGGAAGAGCAGAGGAATGGCCCAGATGGAGGGAGAACAGGGATGGAGAGAACAGTGGGATGGAGAGAGCACAGGGATGGAGGGAGAAGAGGGATGGAGGGAGAACAGGGATGGAGAGAACAGTGGGATGGAGGGAGAACAGGGATGGAGGGGGCATAGGGATGGAGGGAGAGCAGGGATGGAGGGAGAACAGGGATGGAGGGAGCACTGGGATGGAGAGAACACTGGGATGGAGGGAGAACAGGGATGGAGGGAGAACAGGGATGAAGAGAGAACAGGGATGGAGAGAACACTGGGATGGAGAGAGCACAGGGATGGAGGGAGAACAGGGATGGAGAGAACACTGGGATGGAGGGAGAACAGGCTCTGGATCCCTCTTGGCACAGGGGGTTTGTACAGGGTCACAAACTGGTGCATCTGCTGTGTCCAAGGTGTTCTGTTGTGCCCTGAAGGAACTGGAGTGCCAGGACAAGAGGGAGTGGCTTCCCACTGCCAGAGGGCAGGGTTAGATGGGATATTGGGAAGAAATTCCTCCCTGGGAGGGTGGGGAGGCCCTGGCACAGGTTGCCCAGAGAAGCTCTGGCTGCCCCTGGATCCCTGGAAGTTACTCCAAGGCCGGGTTGGAGCAACCTGGTCTGGTGGAAGGTGTCCCTGCCCATGGCAGGGGGGGAATGGAATGAACTTTAAGGTCCTTTCCAACCTGGAGGAACAGTTCCCTCAGCACTGCTGAGCAGATCTGTGCTCAAGCTTTGGAGTTCTGCTTTTAGTCTGGATCCTGAGGAGCTCAGAGTTTGGCTTGAAAGCCCTGGCCTTCGGAGCTGCATTTTCAGCAGGGAGACAGTGAGCAGAGGGAGGTTAAACCAGCTGAATGAGTGTGGTCCTAAAAGCAGAATGAGTAGCAAATACTTCCTCTGGGAGCTGCATGTGTGTCCTTCCTGGGAATGACACTCAGGGTGTGAAGTGTGCAAGCTGGGGAGGGAAATGAGGGAAGTACCTGGTGCTATGAAGGATGCCTGGATGCTGAGGTGGGCAGAAAGGAACAGAGTGTGATGGTTCAGAGGAGACAGATGGATACAATCCCGAGATCAGAATCCTGTGATTCATCAGGCAACTGTGGGTATTTTGGGATTTTGGTCATGAAAGATTTAAAAATGGATTTGGTGTCTGTGGAATGGGCTGTAAAGGCAGGGATGTGCCAGCACTTGGGGCTCTCCCTGCAGGGCTGGCTGGTGGTGCAGAGGTGAAACGGGATGTCAGTGACTGACTCGCTCCTCCAGCACCTCAGAAATCCAGGGGTTTGCCCTGCAGTGCCAGTGCAGTCAGCAACAGCAGCAGCAGGAGCTGCAGTGACCATCTCTCCTCTCTGCAGGCCATTGACAGCATTCACCAAGTGGGGGTGTACTGCCTTGCTCTCGTGCCAGCCAACACATTGCCAAAAACTCCGCTGGGAGGGATCCACATCTCACAAACCAAACAGCACTTTCTGGAGGGCTCTCTGCACCCCTGCAACATCCTCATGTGCCCACACACCTGTGTGACAAACTTGCCAAAGCCCAGGCAGAAACAGCCAGGTAACCTGAGCCCCTTTTGGGGCCCTTTTGGTGTCGGTGAGCTGAGGCTCAGCCCCAGGAAGGGGGTGACGTGTCCCACTCCGTGTCCCATTCCCTGTGGGACCAGAGCCTGTCTCGTGCCCTGTGGCTGGGGCGTGTTTGAGGCCTCTCCTTTGCATGTGTTAGTCAGGAATTTTGATTCCTACCTTTGAACTCACTGGGATTCTCCCTGCTGGTGAGCAGAGACCAGCAGTGCCTGCTGAACTCCCTCAGTGAGGTTTCATTCCCTCTCCTCCTGCATCCGTGCCCGGGAGCGGTGGGATCCTGCAGACACTCTTTGTACCTTCCCTCTGCTTTCCCAAAGTGCCCATTCCAGGCTGTCCTCTCTCCTCAGGCGTGGGCCCTGCCTCTGTGATGGTGGGGAACCTGGTTGCTGGGAAGCGAATCGCTCAGGCCTCGGGGAGAGACCTGGGCCAGCTGGAAGACAACGATTTAGTTAAAAAGGTAAATCAGTGCTGAGCAGAGCTGGGGAAGGGGGTTTCCCCTCCAGCTGGGTGCAGAGCAGCAGCTCTGGTTGGTGTTGAATTCCTGCCTCTCTCTTCCAGCACCAGTTCCTGACAGAAGTGTTGCAGTGGAGAGCTCAGGCCACTCCTGACCACCCGCTCTTCCTTTTACTGAACGCCAAGGTACGGTCAGTGCTGAGCTCTTGGATTTCAAGGCCCACGTGTAATTCATTCAGTGCCAGTTTGAGACTGTCTCTAAAATCTTCTGCCCTCTGCAGTGCCTCTCTTCAGTCTCTGTATCAGCCTTTGCCCATAGGTTTGTAACTCAAAACTTGACCCTTTGACCCTGTAGGTCCCTTCAGCGAACGACTCTCACGGTTCGAGGCTTCATTTTCAAACTGAGCCTGTTTGTAGGTCCCACTGGTTCCTGTATCAGTTAATGGTGTATCCCTGTTGAGTATATTCTGGCAAGGTTCTGGTGCAAGAAGACCTGAACTTGACTCCCTGGAAGGTAGAATTTTCTAGAGCAGATCTAACTCCATCTCTGTCCTTTGATACCGTAGTGGATAAGCAGCTCACTGAGCACCAGCAGCCTTTAGGTAGAGATAACTCGTAGCTGTAGCCTCCTGCTAGCCCAGCAAGCTTGGTTTGATCTCACAGCAGCCAGTTGGGGTTGTGCCAGCCCCTGTTTCGAGCATTTTTGTGTCCTTTCAAGGGAACCACTGTGTGCACGGCCACCTGCCTTCAGCTGCACAAGAAGGCCGAGAGGATCGCGTCAGTGCTCTGTGACAAAGGACATCTCAATGCAGGAGACAATGTGGTGCTTCTTTATCCTCCTGGTGAGTGGGTTTTGGGAGTGGCTGGGTCCCACTGGGGAAGTGCAGCCTGGGCTTTCTTTGGTTCCCTCACTGGGATATGGAAATCCAGGACAGACACTCGCTGCTGGTGTGAGTTGGTCACTGGTGTGTACTTACAGCCCTGCCAGACACTGCTCCATGTCCTGACTGGCTTTTGAGTCAGCTGACACTCGAGATGTTCTTTTCCTGTACAATGGAGATGATTTTCTGTGCTTTACCTTCCCAATCCCCTATCCCAAACTTCCTGCCCTCGGTGTGCATCCACACCGTGGGAGTGTCCCCCTTACCCAGCAGGAAGGAACTCCTGGAGGAGGAGCAGCAGTGCCCAGGGTGTCCCCAGGGTGTCCCTCCCCGGTGTCCCCTGCTCCAGCTGCCCTGTCCTTGCAGGCATTGAGCTCATCACAGCCTTCTATGGCTGCCTGTACGCCGGCTGTGTGCCCGTCACCGTGCGCCCGCCCCATGCCCAGAGCCTCACCGCGACCCTGCCCACCGTGAGGATGATCGTGGAGGTGAGCAAGGAGGGGCTGGGGCACTGGGGACACCCTGCCTGGGTGCCAGGCACCCACCCAGAGCTGCTCAGTCACTGCCCTCCACAGCTGGACGGGGGAGAGTCCCTCCCTGGGAGAAAGCTGGATGTGGCCGTGCCGCGTTCTCGCCTGCCCGGAAGGTTCTGGCAGGTCCTGGGCAGGTTGGGCTGCACTGGGGGGTTAGTGAAGGAAAAGCAGAGCAGGGTGTGCAAAAGGGCAGAGAAGGGAGTTCAGGTTTGCTGAGGGAAACTGGCTGCAGGTGATAAAACAGTCCCTGAACAGCAGGCCTTGCAGTGGCAGTGCTGCCGGGCCAGGTTTTCGTCTCTTTTTTCAGTCTCTCAGTCTCTTTTTTTTGTCTCTCCAGGTCAGCAAAGCCGCCTGTATCCTCACAACCCAGACCCTGATGAGGCTGCTCAAGTCCAGGGAGGCAGCTGGAGCTGTGGATGTGAAAACCTGGCCAACCATCATCGACACAGGTGGGGCAAAAAGGCTCCTGGGACTTGTGTGAAGGGGTGACCGGTGACTTCCAGAGGGACTGTCCCCCCGTTTGGCTCTGGAGAATTTGCTTGAATATTTACAAAAGCTGTCCAAGATGGAATCTTAATTGTGACCTTGTTCACTGGGAGCATTTGTTGAGCTGTGCATGGAAAATGGCTGTACAGACCAGCCTTGCTGCAGCCAACTTTCATCTCCTTAATTCAAGGGCAAAGTTGGTCTTTTCTCCCTTTTCCTGAGAATAAATAAATTCCTGCGTGGGAGCTTTGGCAAGACTCCTGCCATACACCAGTCTGTCTCTTTTGGAAAGAGAATTAATAGAAAGCTTTTTCCTCCCTCTCTGGCTTTTTGTAAGTTGTGTTCTCCTTTCAAACAGCAGTTCAGGAACCAAAACTAACCTGTTTGTTCCTCTCTTGCACAGATGACTTGCCCAGGAAGAGACTGGCCCAGATCTATAAGCCACCCACGCCTGAAATGTTGGCATATCTAGATTTTAGTGTCTCCACAACGGGCATGCTCACAGGAGTAAAGGTATAGTAATGGGGTAGGAGATGTCTCTGGCTGATATTCTGAGCCAGCTCCCCTTGACCCCCACCAAAGCTGGTCCTTGCAGCTTAAATAAAGACCCTGATTTCCTTCTAACAAAGCTGAGGATTTTAGTTCACTGAGTTAGTTCTGCAGTGGAGGAAAACAGGTCTCAAGGGTGGAATCAGGAGTTCTGCTGCTGCCTCCCTCTGGAGAGCTGCCTGTTGGGAGAGCAGCAGAGCAATGAGCTCCTGCTTTACCCCACCAGGACCAGAACAGGGGTGCAGCTGGCAAAAAAAAGGAAGATAAGAAACTAAAACTGAAAGCTTTAGACTGCCCTTAATGCTCAGGTGTGTTTGGAGTCAGGGATGACTGGATCACAGGAGAGCTGGGGTTGGAAGGGACCTCTGGAGATCCCCCAGTGCCCAGGCAGGGTCACCTGGAGCAGGTGACACAGGAACACATCCAGGGGGGCTTTGAATGTCTCCAGAGAGGGGGGAACTCTTGGAGTTCCCTGGGCAGCTGTTCCAGGGCTCTGCCACCCTCCTGGGAAGTTCTTCCTCGAGTTGAGGTGGAACTGATGTCCCCTGTGTTGCTGATGTCCCCTGTTATCCCCCTGTGTTGATGATTTCCCCTGTGTTGCTGATGTCCCCTGTTGTCCCCCTGTGTTGCTGATGTCCCCTGTGTTGCTGATGTCCCCTGTTGTCCCCTGTGCTGATGATGTCCCCTGTTGTCCCCTGTGTTGATGATGTCCCCTGTTGTCCCCTGTGTTGATGATGTCCCCTGTTGTCCCCTGTGTTGCTGATGTCCCCTGTTGTCCCCTGTGCTGATGATGTCCCCTGTGCTGATGATGTCCCCTGTTGTCCCCTGTGTTGCAGATGTCCCCTGTGTTGCAGATGTCCCCTGTGTTGCTGATGTCCCCTGTTGTCTCCTGTGTTGCTGATGTCCCCTGTGTTGCTGATGTCCCCTGTGCTGATGATGTCCCCTGCTGTCCCCTGTGTTGCAGATGTCCCATGCTGCTGTCAGTGGCCTGTGCAGGGCCATCAAGCTGCAGTGTGAGCTCTACTCCTCCCGGCAGATTGCCATCTGCCTCGACCCCTACTGCGGGCTGGGATTCGTGCTCTGGTGCCTTTGCAGGTAGGACTTTTGTCTTTTTGTGGGGGGAAAGGGGCAGATTGACTCTGTCCCTCTGGAAATGGGTCCCTCTGGCTGTAATTCCAGACGTGTTGACATGACCAAAGTGACTGGTTTACAGTGGGGGGGGGATTTGTCTTTGAACTCACACCACCACCTTCCCTTTTCCTGCAGATTATCCCATCTCGATTATCTTTGTTTGTGCCTCCAGAATGTTTCTTTTCCCTTTCTTCCTTGATTATGTGTTGCAATAAGGGAGGTTTTTGTTCTGTGTGGGGCTGAGCCAGTTCTGTTCCCTCCCTGACAGTGTTTGGGCACGTTTGAGTGTGTGCACAGACTGTTATTCTTGTACAGTAAGTTGCATTTTTCAAATGCTGCTGCTCCAGTTTGCCTCAGCTGCAGAGTCCCACAGCCTGCTTTTGGTTTAGCAGGAACATAATGTGCTAATACAGTAAATATTAATTTAAAGATAACTACGAGCTGCACAAAGATGTTTTCTTCCTTTATGTTCTTCCCAGTGTGTATTCTGGACACCAGTCAATTTTAATTCCTCCTATGGAGCTGGAATCCAACCTTTTTCTCTGGTTATCTACTGTCAGCCAGTATAAAATAAGGGACACTTTCTGTTCCTATTCAGTCATGGAACTGTGCACAAAGGGACTTGGAAACCAAGTTGAAATGTTAAAGGTAAGAAACGTTTCCTGAGTGATCTGTTGGGTGAATTAATACAAGTTTTCCTGTTGCACAAGTCTCCAGGCCACGGGTGGCTCAGGAAGCAAATCACCAAAGCAGGTTTGCAGCCCCAGGAGAGGAAGGACTGGGATGGAGCAGGGATGAGTGGAGTGGACACTGGGATGGAGCAGGGATGTGTGGAGTGGATATTGGGATGGAGCAGGGATGTGTGGAATGGACACTGGGATGGAGCAGGGATGTGTGGAGTGCAGGGAGCAGGGCTGGGATGGAGCAGGGATGTGTGGAGTGGATATTGGGATGGAGCAGGGATGTGTGGAATGGACACTGGGATGGAGCAGGGATGTGTGGAGTGGATATTGGGATGGAGCAGGGATTTGTGGAGTGGATATTGGGATGGAGCAGGGATTTGTGGAGTGCAGGACTCACCTGGCAGGGAGTGCCAGGCCAGCCCTGAGCAGAGGGAGGATCCCACAGGGCTCTGCAGCAGGATCCCTTATGTAAGAGTCTGCAGTGGAGGCTCAGCCCAGCACATGATGCACAGCACATGGCAGGAGCTGCTCCATGGAGGTGTGTTCTCCTTGGAGATGAGAGAAGGCAAAAAATAACTCCCTGAGCTGCCTGAGGTGGATTTTTGCCTGGGGTTTGGTGCAATAGTGGCTCCCTCTGTGAGATTCTGTGGGTGCCTGTCTGGGCTGTGTCACCAGGTGAGCACTCTGGGCTGCTGCTGCTCAGGGCATTCCTGATGCAAACAGTGGATTCTGCTCCCAGTTTTGTTGAAGGCTCGGTGCAATCCCAGCAGAGGACTTTACCCTCCCTTGTTTTGGTTTCCAGGTGTGTGAGCAGTGAATCCCAGGCTCTGCAGGAGCCCCTGGTGCTGCACTGGGGCAGAGGAGGGAGCCCTGGTAGAGCAGGGTTGGTCCTGGCTGCCTTTCCAGGCTTGGTCAGACACATTTTAGAAGTACAAACAGGAGCTGAAAATGACAAATTTAATATTATATTATTATAGTATATTATTATTGTTGTTGATGTTGTTGTTAATAATAATAATAATTACAAATAGAAGCTAAAATTACACATTTCATGTTATATAATACTATTTATTATTGTTGTTGTTATTATTATTATTGACAGTACCACCAATAACAACAACAACAAATAGGAGCTGAAAAGAAGAAATAACTTGAACACAAGAACAGGGTTTGTCCTGTGTGTCTTGAGTTATTTCCAGGGATAAGGAGCAAATGTCACTTCTGGAGAGGGGACAGAGGTGACCAACACACCCAGCCCTTTGCCTGAATAACAACAACAATAATAATAATGACAATAATAATAATAATAATAATTAGAAACTGAGAAGAGGAAGTAACCTGAACACAAGAGCAGGGTTTGTCCTGCATTTCCTGAGTTATTTCCAGGGATAAGAAACAAATGTCACCTGTTGAGTGGTGACAGGTGACCAGCACATCCAGCCCTGTGCCTGAATAACAACAATAATAATAATAATGATAGTGATGATAATAATAATAATAATTAGAAACTGAGAAGGGGAAGTAACCTGAACACAAGAGCAGGGTTTGTCCTGCATTTCCCGAGTTATTTCCAGGCACAAGGAGCAAATGTCACCTCTTGAGTGGCAAGAGGTGACCAGCACATCCAGCCCCGTGCCTGAATAATAATAAGTATCACAAAAAGAAGCTGGAAAGAGGGCTCCTGCCTGACCCCTGTTCTCCCCAGGCCCGGGGCATCAACCTGTCGTGCGTGAGGACGTGCGTGGTGGTGGCGGAGGAGCGGCCCCGCGTGTCCCTCACCCAGTCCTTCTCCAAGCTCTTCAAGGACATCGGCCTCTCGTCCCGCGCCGTCAGCACCACCTTCGGCTCCCGGGTCAACGTGGCCATCTGCTTACAGGTGACCCTTCCCAGGGGCTCCCCATTGTCCCTGGAATCTCAGATCCCACCGACTCCCCCCCGTGTGCCCACCCTTGTGGAGCCCAACATCTGCCCTGCCCGCAGCAGCTGGCACGGGGGTGAGGCAGCTTCCCTTGTTTTGGGCTGCCAGATCATGGCACAGATGGTGCAAACAGCTGGAACGTGCCCTGGGGAGCTGTTTATTCCCACGTAGACAGTGGTGGTGTGTTTGTTCCCACATGGTGTTGGTGTGTTTATTCCCACATGGTGTTGGTGTGTTTATTACCCCATGGACAGTGTTGGTGTGTTTATTCCCCCATAGTGTTGGTGTGTTTGTTCCCACAGTGTTGGTGTGTTTGTTCCCACAGTATTGATGTGTTTGTTCCCCCATGGACAGTGTTGATGTGTTTGTTCCCCCATGGACAGTGTTGGTGTGTTTATTCCCACATAGCATTGGTGTGTTTATTCCCACATGGACAGTGTTGGTGTGTTTATTCCCACATTGGTGTGTTTATTCCCACATTGGTGTGTTTATTCCCACATTGGTGTGTTTATTCCCACATTGGTGTGTTTATTCCCACATGGTGTTGGTGTGTTTATTCCCACATAGTATTGATGTGTTTATTCCCACATGGACAGTGTTGGTGTGTTTATTCCCACATTGGTGTGTTTATTCCCACACAAACAGTGCCTGGTTGCCCCAGCACTAATGGCTGAGGGGGCTTGGGCTGTGTCCCCCCCTCCCCAAACCTCCCTCCCCCCCAAAATGTTTCCCTGTTCACTGAAGGGTCTCCATTAGTGCAGCTGCAAAGGTGGGGGGGATGTGAGAAAGAATTTTGCTGTGGGAAACCCCTGGAAAGGTTTCTGAGCTCAGGCAGGAGTTCCCCTGCCTGCTGGAGACAAACTGATGGGTTTTAAATGTTTTAACTCCTCAGGGAACGTCCGGGCCCGATCCCACCACGGTGTACGTGGACCTGAAGTCCTTGAGACATGACAGGTACAGTGAGTTCATTAAATCAATTTAACAACTGTATAAAATGCTGTGAGGGTGCTGAGCTCTCACACTGCTCTGGAGATTTCCACTCTTTTAATCCTGACAAGGTTTTCTTTCCCTTCAGAGTCCGTCTGGTGGAACGAGGAGCTCCACAGAGCCTGTTGCTTTCCGAGTCTGGGAAGGTAATTCCATGTCTTTATCCAGAACCACAGCACAGGGCAGTTGGGAACCGCACATTTCTTACAGCCCTGAGGAGGATAATCCTGTGACAAGGCTTGGGAAGGCCTTGGTTACGCTGTTCCTCTGGAAAATCAGTTGGATTTATAAGGAAGTAATGATTAAGGAGCGTGTTTTGCTGGAAACTCGTGGGAGAATTGGTTCTGTTAGCAGTAAATGAACCAAATCAGAGAGTGAATTAGGTTGGAAAAGACCTCTGAGATCATGGAGTCCACATCAGAAGTGGGGGCTGTGGGATCCTTGAAATCAGCCTGTAGTTGGGATTTACTGTCACTCCCTCATGGATTAACAAAAAGGAGTTTCTCCTTATTTTTGTAACTGAATTCTTCAAAACTGAGGTCCAGCAACATGTCCAGGCCCAGAATGCCCTCCCTGTGTGGCCCTTGAGCCATGGAATCCATCCATCCCCTGAGCCTGCCTCACTGTACCTGTCCTGGCGTGTTTTATCCCTGCTCGAGGTGGCTGGGGGTGAAATCCTGCCCTGAATTAATGTGGTTTATTGTGCCTGAGGATAATCCAGCAGGAATTACACATTCCTTCTTGTGCTCCTTAGATTCTGCCTGGAGTCAAAGTGGTCATTGTCAACCCGGAGACAAAAGGGCCTCTGGGAGATTCCCACCTTGGGGAGGTAAGTGGAAATTTTGCTCCTTGCTGCTCCTTGGGCTCTTCTCTGCTGGCTTCTGAAGCTGCTGGGGGACAGTTTGGAGCTGTGACTCTCACAGGCCTTTGTAAGCTGAATTATTGCTGGAGCTCTCAGAATTTGGGCGTTATTTCACTGCCCGGTCAAAAGAAAAAACCCACTAGAAAGGAAAGCTTATTCCACTCTAAATCTTGCAAACTGGCTCCCAAATAATCCAATTTACATTTGGCTTTCCTTATCTTGATTACACACCAGTGTATTTGTCTGTGTTGGCAGATTATTATCAAATTTTGGACTCGACACGTTAAAAATCCGCAGTTTGTTTGCTCAGCGAGTCCTGAGGGGAGGTCTGCAAGGTGCATTATTGAGATAATAAAGGACAACAGAGGATATTTGGAGGTCTGACCTAAATGAATGGGGGGTTTTTTTTGGTCTGAAAAAATGGTGGATGAAAAGGGAACCTTCACCTTGGAGCTTCCTGGCTCAGGAACAGGGTGGCCAACAGGGCCAGGGAAGTGATTCCTGCTCTGGACTCAGCGCTGGTGAGGCCACCCCTGGAGTGCTGTGTCCAGTTCTGGGCCCTCAGCTCAGGAAGGACATGGAGGGGCTGGAGCAGGGCCAGAGGAGAGCAACGAGGCTGGGGAAGGGACTGGAGCACAAGTGCTGGGAGGAGAGGCTGAGGGAGCTGGGGGGGCTCAGCCTGGAGAAGAGGAGGCTCAGGGGAGACCTCCTCACTCTCTGCAACTCCCTGACAGGAGGGGGGAGCCAGGGGGGGTTGGTCTCTTTTCCCATCAGCAAGACAAGAGGGCTGGGTCTTGAGCTGTGCCAGGGGAGGTTTAGGTTGGAGATTAGGAAGAATTTCTTTGCAGAGAGGGTGCTCAGCCATTGGAATGGGCTGCCCAGGGAAGGGGTGGATTCTCCATCCCTGGAGGTTTTTAAGATAAGACTGGATGTGGCATCAGTGCCATGGGCTGGGAACCACGGTGGGGTTGGATCAAGGGTTGGACTTAGGTGTTTAAGGACAGACTGGATGTGGCATCAGTGCCATGGGCTGGGAACCACGGCGGGGTTGGATCAAGGGCTGGACTTGATGATGTTGGAGGTCCCTTCCAACCCAGCTGATTCCATGATTCCATGATTCCCTGATTCCACGATTCCATGATTCCGTGATTCTCACCCGCTCCACGTCAGCGCTCGTGGGGCCCGGGGGTGACTGCTCTGCCCTCCCTGCACAGATCTGGGTGAACAGCCCCCACACGGCCAGCGGTTACTACACCATCTACGACAACGAGACCCTCCAGGCCGACCACTTCAACACCCGCCTGAGCTTCGGCGACGCGGCGCAGACGCTCTGGGCCCGCACCGGTTACCTGGGCTTCGTGCGGCGCACCGAGCTCACGGCGGGCCAGCGGAGGTGGGCAGGCCCTTGGGGGGCTCGGGGTGACACATCTCCAGGACAGGGCCATCCAGAGGGGCCTGGAGGAGCTCGAGAAGTGGCCCTCAGGGAGCTCGGGGGGTTTAGTAGGACGAGTGCTGGCGCTGCTGTCGGGGCGACCGCCGGTGTCGGGGCAGGGATGAGCTGATGGAGAAGGATGTGGGGAGAGGCTGGACATGGCCCAGAGACCCCTCCTGTGCTGGGGGATTCTGCCCCTCTGGTGAGACCCCCCTGCAGAGCTGCCTCCAGCAGGGGAACAGCACAGGGAGGGCTGTGGAGCTGCTGGAGAGAGTGCAGAGGCACCAAGGATGATCAGAGGGATGGAGCAGCTCTGCCAGGGGGGAAAGGCTGGACAGCTGGGATTGTTCAGCCTGGAGAAGGGAAGGCTTTGGGGTGACCTCATTGTGGCCTCCCAGGACCTGAAGGGAACCTGCAGGAAAGGTGCAGAGAGACTATTTCCAAAGGAGTGCCAGGACAGGGGGGAATGGCTTCAAACCGCCAGCAGATTTTAGATGGGATTTTGGGAAGAAATTCCTCTCTCTGAGGGTGGTGAGGCCCTGGAATGCATTTCCCAGAGGATGCTCCATCCCTGGAAGTGTCCCAGGCTGGGTTGGAGCAACCTGGTCTCGTGGAAGGTGTCCCTGCCCATGGCAGGGGGGTGGAACTGGATGATCTTTAAGGCCCCTTCCCACCCAAACCATTCCATGATTCTTTGGCCTGTAGCAGACACTCTGTTGTACCTGAATTCCAGCCCTTCCAGCTGTTTTCCCTCTCTCCCCAGAGCGCCACGACGCCCTGTACGTGGTGGGAGCCCTGGATGAGACCCTGGAGCTGCGGGGGCTGCGCTACCACCCCATCGACATCGAGACCTCGGTGTCCCGGACCCACAGGAGCATTGCTGAATGGTAACACAGCCCCCCCCAGGAGGGCTGGGCTCCTCCTGGCCCAGCTGAAATGCAGCAGTTTAAGGCAAAGGTGCAGGGTTTAATCAGGAAATAAAAAAAAACAGGGAAATTCGGATTTTTTTTCTGTTGGGAAATTCAGATTTATCTTGGCCAGTCACACACCTGGTTTCCACACAGAACAGACTCTGTGTTTTCTCACAAGCCTCAGTATTGAACAAAAATGATGATTTGCTGCTCTGGGGTGTAAAGAGCCACTTCTCAGTGGGTGGCAGCAGCGTTGTTGTGTCACACGGGTGGTGCTGAGGTGGCTCTGAACTGGTCTCTGACACGTCAGGGCCGGGTCACCTCGGGGTTAGGTTGGAAATGCAGCCCAGAGCAGGTGGGAGACTCCACCTGAGGATAATCAGCTGGAAACTTTGGCTCTTTGGGACAATAACCGGGCGTTCTGTTGGTTCTCCTTTGCCCTTCCAGTGCCGTGTTCACCTGGACCAACCTGCTGGTGGTGGTGGTGGAGCTGTGTGGCTGCGAGCAGGAGGCTCTGGATTTAGTCCCTCTGGTGACCAACGTGGTCCTGGAAGAGCATTACCTGATCGTGGGCGTGGTGGTGGTGGTGGATCCCGGGGTCATCCCCATCAACTCCCGAGGCGAGAAGCAGCGGATGCACCTCCGGGACAGTTTCCTGGCAGATCAGCTGGACCCCATTTACGTGGCCTACAACATGTGATGGCAGGAGCTGCAGGAGCCCAGAAGGACCAGGGTGGTGATGGAAGTGAAGCTGGTGAAATTACTAATACTTGACCTACAGGTTGAGGTTGCTGCCACATTCCTTCCCTCCCGGCCCCCGGGGGAGCGGAGGGAATTTGGGAGGCAACTGGCAAACCTTTGTAACAGTTTACTGAACACATGAGCTTTAGAGAAATGCAAAGTGGGAAAGTGTGTGAGCTACAAAACCCCCAAGGCCTTTACAGTAGTGTTACTTTTTCATCCGTTGTACATATTTGTATTTTTATCTAATCCCGGGGTAGGATTCTATAAGGGGAGGGTTTATTTAGTTAAGATAATAAACTATTAAGAAAAAGGGTCATCAGAGTTCTGCAGTTCCCTACTCCATGATCTCCTTTGCATCTGGAGCTGCTCATCCCCTGGGATCACACGACTTATTGACAATTGTGCCATGACCAAATCAATAACTTACGGAATTGAAGAGTTGCTTATTCATATAGAGATTTCTGGAATTTAAAAAAGAATTTTGCCTATATTTTAAATATGTAAATATTATTATTATACATAATTCACTTAGCTAGAAAATTAACTTGGCTAATGAGGACAGCTGAAGGTTGATGTTTTTAAGGACAGGTGACTTTTGTGGTCCTCAGCATCCTGGCATTGGCTTAGACACAATGTGAGATGCTCCCACCTTCCACAGGTTTCTGATTTCATTTGTCTCTTCATTCTGGCCAGAAGTGTGTCAGAGCATGTAGAACCTTTGATATTAAGGCACATCCCTCTCCAAGAGATGAATTTAAAACGTGGAACTGGGGAGAAATGGCAATGCAAGTCCCGAATCCTGAACTGGAATGATGCAGCCTCTGCCTCATCCTCTGGCTCCAGGTGTGGGAAGGAAAAAACATTCCTTAGGTGGACACACAGGTAACTCCCCTGCTTGTGCCATCCATGACTCCTTCCATCCCCAGGAAATACTGTAAATAGGCTTTAGTAAAACTGGGAGCCAACAGCCCATCTTCCCTCAGAGCATTCCCTGGAAAGAACAGGAGAATCCCGGGTTTGAGTGGGATGCAAGTTTTATTTTACAGGAGACAGAGCAATTGTGGCAAACACAACCTTCAGGAACGTTGTGCAGACTGCTCTGCCAGCCTTCCACCTCCTGGGTCAGCTCCAAAGTTAGGGAATGGGAGGAAAGAGAAGCCTTAGAGAGCAGCAGGTACAAGCTTTTCCTGCTGGGAAGCCCCTCCACGGAGCCAGTGGTTGAGCTTTGACTCAAAAATGACCTTTTCCGTTTTAACACCTCATCTTTCAATAGCAATTACATTCCTCTGGGTGCTAAAATATGATTTTGGAAGCCTTGGGGGGCTGCTGCCAGATCCTGCAACAGGGTTTTGTTTTTTTTTTTTGAGTCCCATGTGGTATATACAGTGTAAATATAAAACTTTTCAGACGTTCCAGATACCTCATGCAAAGTTTTTAGGCCGTTTTTAAAAAGGTTCCTGGTGTGGACTCGGAAGATCCTGTGGCAGTTCCTGGAGCAGGACCCGGTGGATCCGTGGGCAAAGCCCAGCCATGTCCTGGAGAAAGAAAAAAAAAAAGCCCAGTTTCCTGCTGCATCCTGGTAGTTCCTCACTGAAAAACAGGAGCTTTAAAAAAAAAAAAAAAAAAAAAACTCAGAGAAGAAGTTTGAAAGTATATTTTTGAAAAAAAATAAAATAAAAATAAAAATAATAAATATTTGGTGGGGAAATAGCTTTAGGAACTGGAAGTTTTCTGGCAGGTCTGGGCCGAAGGTTCTTTGCAAACACTTCGGTTCACGGGGGGCACGTTTTGGAACCTTTTCTGTGTTTTTCCACAGTGTCAGCAGAATAGGCACCAAATCTTTAGTGTGTTTAGTTTTAACAAATTGACCACAGAGTGGGGACAGCCACAGGGGAAACTGTGACTAACACAGTTGGTCCTGCAGCTTGTTTTGGGTGTAAAGTGCACAAAGGTTGTTCTCCCTTTACAGCCAGAAAATTCCTGTTATTCCATGTTCTGTGTCACCATTTTTGTGTTTCTTGCACAGCCCAGGCCTGGCCGAGCAGCTTCACTCCAATGTGACCTTTCCAGGGAAAATTCTGGTGGTCTTGGACCTTTTTCTTTACTCAAAAGCTTTAGTTAAAATTGTTTCAGCAAATGCTTTTTGTCCCCTGGAGTGGATTTTAAGTCCAAGTCCGGGATTGTCATTTATTTTTCCTCGTGATCCTTCACAAACGAAACAATGTGTGTGTGAATTCCAGCAGAGATTCCCAAGTGTGGTAGGTGGCCTTCCCAAAATGGCATTTTTGAATGAGACTGGATCCATTTGATCTCCTTTTCCCTTTATTTTTTCGTTTGGATGGGCACCGATGGCTTTTCATGCCTCGGGGGCTTTTCTCTTGCCATTCCCTGGGTGCTCCAAGTCTTCCTTCCAGCACGTTCCATTTCCCTGGGCTGGAGAACTGCAGGATGCAGGGAACATTCCAGGGACATGGAGCAGCTGCTCAGTTTGGCTTCCCTGGGTGCTTTGTCCCTGTTTTGGCACAGTGGGAAGCAACGTGCTGGAGAGGAGGAAGGATGGAGCTGGGACTCCCCAAATTCTTCCTCCGGCTCCACGAGCTTTCCACAGGTCATTCCACTCCTTCCATTCCTCCCTCTGTGATTTTTCCATATGGGAACAAACCAAGATCCTTCTCTCCAGACACTGGCAGGGGCAGGGCTGGGTGCTTTTCCCCAAAAAACAGCCTCTCCCCCCTGGTTTGACCTCCCAGCTCCTGGAGTTGCACAGGGCACATTTTTCCTTCCTCTTGTCCATCAGATTCCAAGCTTAGCAACTGCAGTGAAACTGAAAAACTGGGAATTCTTCCCACTGGACTAAACTAGTTTGTGTGTCTCACTGTTTCTGGATCTTCCCTGAGCAAACTGTGGGAACAGGTCGGTTTTATCCTCTTCTGTTGGAATTTGCACTTCATTTCTGGTTTAAATCAACGGAATTCAGCTGTTTCCTACTAACTGCTCTAAAATAAGGTTGTAAAAACCAGATCAATTTTAGCCCTAGGTGCATTTGTTTTCCTTTAATTTCTGTCAACCTCTTTCCCATTGTCCAATCCAGACTCCGGCGTTTCTGTAATTATGTATAAAGGTTTTATTTATTTAAAATTAGCTTAGTTACATTTTTAAATTTAACACCTGGCTGGACAGTGTCCCATTAACGCATTGATTGTGTTTCCTTTGTCTTGTGTTAATAAATATTGATGCCTGGTTGCTCGTTTAGTCCTTGAAGACGCTGTTTCCATGAAGGAATTTTTGGTTTGTTTTTTTTTAAGGAGTGAAATGTGGGTTAATGTTGATCCTGGGGAGAGGGAAAACTTGTGAGTGTTTTATGTTTTGTTCATTGTACTGAGAGGGGTCTGAGCCATGAGGGGGTGAAGGGCTGGGTGGGTGTCCTGGACTTGCAGCTTTGTGAATACGATTTTTTGGGGATCAGAGCTGGGGAAGGGGCTGGAGCACAGGGAGAAGGGGCTGGAGCACAGGGAGAAGGGGCTGGAGAACTCCTGAGGGAGCTGGGGGGGCTCAGCCTGGAGAGAAGGAGGCTCAGGGGGGACCTCCTCGCTCTCCACAGCTCCCTGATGGGGTTGGAGCCGGGTGGGATCGGGCTCTGCTCCCAGGGAATGAGGGATGGGACGAGAGGGAACGGCCTCAAGCTGTGCCAGGGGAGGGTCAGGTTGGAATTTAGGGGAAATTTCTTCATGGAAGGGGTTGTCGGGCCTTGGCAGGGGCTGCCCAGGGAGGTTTGGAGTCCCCCATCCCTGGAGCCCGCTCGCGCGTAACCCCGCCGCCGCCCTTCGCCCGCGCAGCTGGGCTGCGCTAACCCCGCGGCGAGGGCTGGGAGCATCCTGGGAATATCGGTGAACACCTAGGGAATATCGGGAATAACGGGAATATCTGTTGATTTCCCGGCGGCCACCGGGCGCTCCCGCCCCCTGAGCCATCCCCGCCGCGGGGGGGCGCTGTGCCGCGGCGGCGCCGCTCCGGCGCGCTGCGCTTCTCTATGGTGGGCCGGCGGGGCCGGCGCTGAGCGGCCGCTCTACCGGGCGCGCGCGCTCCGCCCTGCTGAGCTGCTCTAATGGGGCGGGCCCTGGGCGCGCGCTTCTTATGGTGGGCCCCGCCCCCCCCGCCGGCGCCGCTTCGGCTGAGGCGGACCCGTGGGCCGGGGCCGGGGACCGGGATCCGGCGGCTCCGGCGCTCCCCACGCCGCCCCGCGGGGCTCTGAGGTCATGCGCGGGCTGCGAGCCGCCCGTCCTTGGCCCGCCGCCCCTTCAACCCACCCCCACACACCCCCCCCCCCGCCCCGCGAAGGTTGCCGTGAGGGGATCGGACAACAGCGGCGGCCTCGGCCCGGCGGATGACCGGCGCGGGACTCGGCCGCGCCGGGCCTCAGCGCTGCCCCGCGGCCTGGCCTGCTGGCCGGGCCGGGCCAGCTGCGCCGGGGGGGGGCTGTGTGGGGGAGAAAGGGGTGGGGTGACGGGGGGGTCGCCCGCTCCCCCTCCCCGGGTCCCGTTCCCCCATTCGCTCCCCTCCATGTTCCGCTCTTGGGAGGGGGGAAAGGGGGCTCTGAGCGTGACGAGGGACCCCCCAGTCCCGCTTTGCCCCGGGGGTGGGGGCTTAAAAGGGGGTCCCCCGGTGCCCCCCGGCCCCAGTCGGTCCCGGGCAGGTTGTGACAAACCGCTCGTTGTGACGAACAGGAGCTTTATCGCTCATTAACCCGCCGTTTAATTAATGGCCGCCGGTACCTGTTTTCCCAGGATTTTGCCCCAAACCGCGTCGGGGAGCCCCGGCTCCAGCGCTCGGGGAGGATGTCAGTGCCCTCGGGGGGGATTTTCCTCTCCCAGCCCATCAGGTCCCCGGTGCCGATGGAATATTGAGGGTTTTGGGCTGCAGCTTTTGTGTCTGAAGCTCCTGTCGGGGATGTTCCTGTACGGGCTGGGGGGGGTGAGTGGAAGAAAACACACGTGCAGAGCGCTCCTGGAGTTTTTAAGGAATATCTCTGCGTGTTTGTGGGATGGGCTCCAGGGCTTTGACCGGGCGCCTTGACTCCTCACAGCTGGTGGGATGTGCTGCCCTCCACTCTGTCTTTCGCTGATTTCGGGGAAAAAAACCCGGACTTCTGACGGTTTTCTGGATGAACGAAATTTCCCCAAGCGTCTTAATTGCAAAATTAGGTAAAAAAAATCTTTTCACTGCCGAAAGCAGCTGATTTTAAGGCACTGAAGAACTCCAAGTTTCCCCAGATTGCTTCAGTATCATTTAAAAAAAAAAAACCCTTCTAAATCCCTTTGAGCAATTTGTAAATGTCAGAATTTGTCTCCTTTCACTGAGTATTTGAGAACAAATGCCTTGTCCAATATTCTTTGACTTCTGGCTTTATAAAGCCTTTAAAAATATGATTAATTGGCTCTTACAATATTTCAGTGGTGAAACATCGTTTAGGGCCTTTCCTCTGCTCGATTTAAAAGGGCAAAACCAGCACTTGGTTTCTTCCTCTGGTGCTCTTTGTAGCATTTTAGGGAATTTAGAGAATTAGTGAAAGTTTTGGGAATGAGGCGTTTTGGGTGTTTCTGGGGGGTTTGGCTGGTGGGTCCCACTGAGGCCTGTGGGATTTTGAAGGGGGGTCTGTGAGCTTTGGGTTGAGAAATGGAACGTGCCCACCATGAACTGTGACATTCCTGCTTCTGTTTGAAATCCTTGGCTGGAGGGAGATGATGCCCAGAATTCTGGGAGTCCTTGGAGTCCTTTCATGAGCTGCTGTTGGAGGATCCTCTCAGTCACATGTAGCTGCCTGGAGACTTTGGTTTTACCCTGAAAAGCATCACCTGTACCTGTCTGACTGTAAAAAAGTGGGGTTTGTCCACACTGGGGCAATAATTGTTCTCTGGATAATAAACCCTCCTGCCAGGGCTCTGTGACAGGTGAAACTCTTCCTTCACCCCAACATGAGCAGCTCTTTCAGCTCAGTAAATCCAAATTCAGCTCTTGCAGCAGTTTTACCCGGGACTGTGCTCAGGGATTTCCCTTTTTGGTGCTTCTTGTCAGAGCTTGAGACCTGCAGGTTGAGGTTTTTTCCCTGGAGGTTCCCTCTGCGAGCTGCTGGATGCCAGTTGCTGTCTCAGGTGCTCACAGGAGGCCGTTCCAATAGGAAATTCCAATAGGGAATTCCCGGTTTTCCAGCTGAATAGGTTGTTTCAGCAGGGTAAAGGCACTGAGAGACTGTCACATCCCCGGAGGGTGTGAGGTGCAGGGGGAATTCCCACCTTGTTGCAACCCCTGCTGAGTCTTCTCCTGAACGTTGTTGTGCTCAACTAGATTGATGTTGGATGAATAATTAAATATTGCAGAGCAAGCAGAGATGGAGTCAGCTCAAAAAACCACATTTTTGATGGGAAGTGCTTAATCTTTTATTCCTGTAAAGCAGAACTTCACACCCATGAGAGAGAGAGATCAGCAAACCCTCTGTGCTCCCTCCCCGGGGTGCTGCTTTTGGGTGCTTTTATCGGTTTCACT